CTTTCAGATAATTTGAAGGTGCGTTTACTTATATGTGTATCTTTGAGGTGAGGATCTTTTATTTATGCTGCCAAATCTTCAGACAGGAATTAAGTATATTTTTATTATCATCGATAAATTTGACTTTATGAAGTTCACATAACCGCCTGAGACCGACACGGAAGGACGATACTCGAAAATACGCCAGCTGCATGTTGAGTCTTCGGAAACGTGCTTTTGTTAGCTGTTTTGCAGTGTAAAATACTGGGTTGCAGGGATGCCAAAAAGCACTGTGGTCACATGATATATCGGAAGGCAAATACGCGAAATGTGCAGAAAAAGGAGATGACACGTTATTTTTCTAAATAATCCCTTACACAATGCTTTACGGCAAAGAGAGATGCATAGAAATGCATAAAATGATATTCCTAGTTAAACATAAATTGCGCGAAGGGCAAACGAAGATTCTTAGAATCCTAATATAAATCACGTTTGGGCATTAGCTTGCCTCAGCTCGAAACGTTGCGAGATACTGCCTCGGGACGCTAATGTTATCTTAGGTTTTACGTTCACTTGTTTTGGGACCATACTTCACGACTCTGTTCTTTATCAGTCATGTGCTCCAACATTTCATAAGGCTGCCGTATATCATCGCGAGACTGCTATAAATACTACACAACTTTACACCTTGGACGTCTAGTGCTAGTGTTGCGAACGTCGCACTTCACCAGAAAGCTGAAGTATTTAACATGGTTTGCACGTGACGTAATCGCACTATATACTGGTTGTCATTGCAAGTTGTTGTTGCTGAAAAAGTCAAATCCGGTGGGGCAAAATGCACGCTGCAAAAGGTTCGCACTCAGTGCAAGCTATGTATTTGAGAGGCACACATTTTTCTTGTTGGTGCATCGCCGTTAGGCACGACGCGAGCATCTGGCACGACGAAAACGTGCTTTCTGGCAAGAGTGTTTTCACAAATAAAAGTTGTACCCACTACCCATCTGTCACTATCGTTTCCAGGCCACGCTTTCTAGTCTGCGCCGAAAATGCGGGGCAGAGGATTCTTTACGACACATTATGCTTTAAAACTACACCCCCTCCCCACTCCCTTTTCTTTTTTAGTTGCTCCTCAAGATACTTTTTATTCCTCAGGGATTGCCTGCTCCGTATTGGGTGGTGTTCATTCGACAATTATATTTGTGTCACTTGTTAACAGTAATTCTTCGCTGCTTTTACTTTGCACCAAACTGTGAAGTTTAAACAAAATACAGGGCGGTCGAAACTTGGAGAACTTGAGAACGACAGTCCTGTGAGACTTAGAGCGGCTGCCAACGTTCGGCTATCCCCCCGAGGCCACTGGGATCTTTCTTTTCCGGTATCCCTCCCGTACACACTAATAGTTCTATGTAATGTCGGACTAATACGTTACATTTAGACCCTTTAACACTTCTATTCCCGGTACAACTTTCTGAGGCCGTTCAGCAACATCGAAAACATGTTTGGGAGCCTCAATGGTGTGCATACATGCAAAATAGGTCGTACAGCATTTTGTTTACCTTAAGTTCAATAAATACCGCTAAGATGTAATCCCTGACGTTGATAACTTGCAAAACCATCCATTAGTTTTCCCCTCTGCGAAATGGTAGACGCAGTTGAAAGAAAGAAATGAAACAGCTTTCCCCTCCTCAACTCGCAATTAGAACTATCAGCCACGTGATCTGATCCTAATATATACACCGTCAGTGTTTATCATAGTCATACGGAGGGTTGGCAAAGCATAGAGCATGGGCTGATCTTCAGATATAGTTTTAGTTGGGCTATAATGCCCGAGCCCTACTAAAGCAACAAACAGAAACAAACGACAGCGGCAAGCCTTAAACCAGAGTATTTCGCGATTTGACAGGCTTTGTAGAATAAAGAAGGCTATGCTCAAACACGAGCATCACGCACACGAGGGTACCATTTCCAGGCTTGTAAACACTCGTGCTAACTTTGCGAGCACCGAACAACTCAAAGCCGTATAAACGTACCATCGCGAGCATGCTGCCTGTGTCTGAGGCCTGTAGCTGTCGTTTTTTTCTGTTTCTAGCTCTAGTGGGACTCGGGCCCATTATAATCTTTGAGTTGAACACGAGCCGTTACCCGAATGTTTGGCGATGCTGGTTGTCATGAACCAGAGCATTCGACTCGGGATCATGACAATCGGGTACATCATGGTGTCACGTGACTCTCAGTGCGAAGTTGTGATGTCATGTGACGTCACGGTATCAACAACGTTAATAGATATAGCGACGTCCTCAATTTGAATCGACTTAACGCGGTGAGTCACGTGACGTCACGGGGTCACGTGATGTGACATTACTTTACAGCATGTCTTGACAGCACGACGTCACGTGACGATGTGACACATGCTTAATCATAGTGCCAATAAGAAAGTGCCGCAAAAACCCAGGATTTATTATACATTGCAATTCTGTATATGACGATTTGATCAATACGTAGAGGAATACACGTGCCACTTTTTTATTCCCAAATATAAAATGTGTAATACTAACAAAAAAAAAAATACCGTGAACCGTTTTGAACCGGTTACCGTTATATTTTTTTCCGGTTCAGTTCCGGTTCAGTTCCAAGATGGCGGCGAAGATTTCGGTTCGGTTCAGTTCCGGTTCGGCTAAAAATAACGGTTCTGTTCCGGTTTTCGGTTCGGTTCGGTTCCGGTTCGACACCCTGGCTACGACCCATCTAAGCAAATCCGAAGCCGTGTGAGTGTCACATGGCCTTCGGAAGGCCCGTAGCGACGCGAGGGTTTTGTAGTCACGCAATACGTTCTCGGCGTTGGATTAGCTGGGATGACTTCTAATGCGTCTACAGCGCTCCAGTTTTAGCTGAACCGGAATACACCAGTTCCTTAGTCATCTTAAGTTCACGAACACGAGAGCCACACCGGGAATCCGTCAATGCGCAGCATTATTGGTTGAACGCTGATCAGGTTCACCAAAAAAGTAGGGTAAAACGTCAGATTTCGCGTGTGTGAAAGGACTACGGCTATACCGGCAGACAGGCCTCCCCAGCAGAAGGAATGCCGGATTCTGGGGGTATGATCGAGTAGCTCCGGCTCGGGTAAATAAACGGCCAGTGGGCGGGAGTGCGCGCTGTGCACTTGGTGAGGCGCGCATTCCACCGGCTGGAAGTGCTGATCGCTCGATAAGCACGGCAATAGAAAGACGGTTGTTGCCACGCTGGATGCCGCGAAAAAAAAAAAATGCCGACGGACTCCGCGACAAATGGAAAATTCCGGCCGGTTATCATTTTTTGCAAGTTTCTTCGTCGAATATGTTCTCACGAACAATTTCGCCGGAAAGCAAACGTTCGTGGATTGCGCAGTTGGTTGCTTCGCGCGGAGTTATTCGCTATCGCTGTCCTTGTTCGTTGAAAAACGTATGTTACGCGCTCGCTCGGTGAGTTTGGTGCGCTCAGCGTAGTGGAGATTTTTTTTCTTTTTTACACGCCCGTTTCTGTTTTTTGTTTCGCTATTCGCTGTATTGTTGCTAAAACTGGAAATGTTGCTTAAAACATGGCGGAAAGAAACTAATGTAGTGTTCCAACACCCGCTAGGGGCCTGACTAACAAGTAAAAAGAGTCAACGCCGCAACAAGCGTTTTGCGCTGATGTTGCCGCGTGCTTGGCTGAGTTGGCAATACGCGCCTAATGTCACGCGGATGTCACTCGGAGCAATTCAGTTCAAAACCCGCTCGGCGCGCTTGTCTCTTTTATCACTCTGGTCTCCCGAAACGTTCCAAACTATTCTCGGTTGCCATCGCGTGTTCTAGTGTTCTAGTTTAGAATGCCCCGGAACGAATACCCTGCGTATGCAGCGGTAAGGTACTGCTTCGCGACAGTTGCCCTTCCGTCGGCGATACCAGATGCGTAGAGTTTCTTTCTTTTTGAGGTTCGAAGCACAAGACTGCCTCATTTAACGTTTTCCTTCAGTATTACAAACGTCTTTTTTTTTTTTTTGACAATATTCGGGAGCTGGTTGTTTTAAATGCTCTTAGATGGTGTTTGACTGAGAAGTTGAATTTCTGCTTGCCAAAATTAAGTTTGCGGCCTACGTGGTATCTCGGAATCCGTATAATCAGAGTTTATAATTTCGTTAAATTTGGAACGTGTTTTTTTTTAATTTTTTTTTATTTTTTGAAATTCGGAAATTAATTTTACTGTTCCCAGATTATCAGTATTAAAAGCAAAACATAATAATAGCAGGACGCAAACGTACGCAAATTCATAGGAACTCGCATTTATTAAATAATATGACGGCAGCTGCGTTTCGCACTGGCGCTCTTCCCAATAGGAATACCACCTACCCCATGGTAAATTTTACAAGAGAAATGTCGCTTCAATTAAGATCAATACTTCGAAATAACTAAATCTTTGGACGTAGTCACTGAAAAGCAAGGAAGCTCCAGCTGTCCTGCCGCTCTCCTGTGAAATTTACAGGTTCATAGCGTCCATTGTTATAAAACAGAAGCTTTCCTCCCTCTAGGAAGCGCAAATAGTATGTTCCAAACAGTAAACCGAAAGAGTGGTTTTTGTGGTTACCCAGAAAGTGCAATGACCTGCTGTTCTGAACGAACATTGACGAAATAAACGGTGAGCTCTGTTTTGTGAATAGACCCCTATTTAGAATAAAAATAAATGGTTTCTCCTCACTATCATCGACTACGTGCTCTCGCTCAATTTATTCAAAAATACCATCCTTTTCTTCTTTTTTATGTTTTTCTTTCGCCATTATGACCTTGAATTTCGGAGTTTTTGGATAACATTAAATTCACGAACATTTTACCGGCCAGTGTTTTTCGGAGTTTTTTTCGGATATATTCGAAAACACTAAGCTTTAATTATAACTAATGGAATTGTGATTGTTTTCATATGTAAAAGTCAGTAGCTGGCTGTTATGTCTGCGGTGCAAGGAGCGGCCAGACGAAGGAAGGACTGCGAAACAGCTTTATTTCCGCAGAGGCCGGCAGCGATCTGGCTGCGCGTATGACGGTGCTCTTCTTATAGAGCGCCCGGTGACGTCAGTACTACGCGTACTGCTGATAGCAACGGCAGCGGCCTCTAGCACTTCCTCCACCGCAATTTGGAACGTCATGAGGCTTCATAGCGATCGGGGGGTCTTCTCTGGCGTTGTGGGTATCGCCGAGGCGCAGCGTTAGTGGGGGTGACGGGCACCGTTTGTCTTGCGGAGACAGTAGACGGAGGTGGTACGTCGGCTTCAGACGCAGGATAGATGGTGTCGGTATCGTCCTCCCCCACAAGGGACGGCGCTGTCACTGCAGTAGACGCTGAGCGCAGGTGGTCCTTGTGTCGCCTCCAAGTACGGAGTCCATCCGGTGTCCGCACCTTGACCACGTAGGACACTGGTCCCGTCCGCTGCAGTACTGTTGCGTGGAACCATGTGGGGCCGCTCTTGGTTCTCCAAGTCCGTTTCCAAGGAGGGCCACCATACGTAGCTTCGGGCGAGTGCTTTGCTCCGCACTATTCCTGGGTGTCCCTGGTGTAGCTCCTCCAGGACCAGCTGTTGAAGTTTCGGGGGCACGACGACTCTCATTCCATGCATCAGGCACCGCTCGTGGACTGTGAGTTCCCTGCGTCTGTCAAAATAGGGCTTCAACACTTTATCATCAAGATGTGATGGCCATCCCTTCTTGGTGAAGTCTACGACCAAGCTGAGGACGGGATCACGCTCTGTATGACGCGCGATGTCCCTACTGGTGACTGGTAGAGATGCCAATCGCAGCGTATAAAACGACTCGTCGTGACTGTCGTCTACTTCTGTGGACTGCAACGGAAGTCGTGAAAAACAGTCCGCGTCCGCGTTCTCTGCGGACGTCCTGTAGGCAAGTTTATACTTGTAGGCTGACAGAGTTACCGCCCACCTCTGCAGTCTTGCGGCGGCTATTGCCGGGATCCCACTCTTTGGCCCAAGGATCGCTTGCAAAGGTTTATGATCAGTAATCAACGTAAACTCCCGACCATAAATGTAGAAGTGGAATTTCTTGACGCCAAAGATTAGGGCGAGCGCCTCCTTTTCAATCTGGCTATAGTTTTCCTCAGCCTTTGATAATGTTCGGGAAGCGTAGGCAATTGGCCTTACCGTGCCATCTTTCATGACGTGCGACAGCACAGCGCCGAGACCATACGCAGACGCATCGCAGGATAGCTGCAGCGGGCGTGCCGGGTCGTAGCGTGCCAGCACCTCCGTCGAAGACAAGATTTCCTTGATGGCTTGGAAGGCATCTTGACATTTCCGATTCCAGCACCAGGGAGCATCCTTCTGTAGTAACCTGTAGAAAGGCTTTGCCAGCGTTGCTAGCAGTGGCGTGAATTTTCATAGTAATTTATCAGTCCAAGCAGTGAACGCAACTGTGCGATGTTAGTAGGCGCTGGGGCATGCAGCAACGCATGAACTTTTTCCTCGCTTGGCTTGACGCCGGTCTCGCTGATAATGTGCCCCAGATACTGCAGGCTTTCTTTAAAAAATTCACATTTTTCACGCTTGACGCGAACACCTTTCTGCTGAAGTGTACAAAACACGGCTTCAAGGTTCCTGAGGTGTTCTTCTGCGGTTGCTCCCGTGACGAGAATATCGTCAAGGTAGCATATGACACCCGGTAGTCCTTTAAGTATGTTGTCCATAATGCGCTGGAACAACGCGGGCGCAGACGCTACTCCGAAAGGGAGTCTGTTCACCGCAAAAAGCCCTTTGTGCGTGTTTAGTGTGAGAAGTTTTTTTGAGTCCTCCGACATCTCTACCTGCTGGTATGCCCTGCTAAGATCTAGCTTGGAAAAGTATTTGCCTCCGGCGAGCGCAGCTAGTATTTCCTGAAGTTTGGGCAGGGGGTACTGCTCCCTGTCTAGGACAGGGTTCAACGTTGTTTTGTAATCCCCGCACACACGTATGGTGCCGTCCTTTTTAACTACCGGTACAATAGGCGTAGCAAACTCACTGGTTGACACTTGCGTAATGACGCCCATTTGTTCAAGCTTCTGCAACTCTTCCCCTACGGCCGACCGGAGTGCGTAAGGCACGTTTCTCGCTTTGAGGAACTTCGGACGTTGCTCTTTCAAAAATAAAGTGGCTCGCTCACCTTCTATCTTGCCAAGGGTGCCGTCGAAGATGCGGCTGTACTTGGCTTGAAGTTCTTTTAGGCGTGCCTCGTACTTCTTGCTTGCATCAGACCGATGAGGGTCCGACAGCTTGTGTACGCCGCAGATGTTGTCCCAGTCCAGACGAAGACGTGTGAGCCACTCGCGGCCCAAAAGAGGCGGGCCATTGTGGTCAACTACGTAGAGGGGTAGAACGTCCTCTTGACCCTTGTATCTTACGGACGCTTTGACGAAACCGCAGGGTTGCACGACTTCCCCGGTGTAAGTCTTGAGGCGTAGCTCGGTGGGTTCAAGCTTCAAAGGAGGCTGAAATTTCTTGAACTGCTGCTTCGGTATTATGGACACCGTGGCTCCCGTGTCCAATTCCATGCTCAAGGAAGTTCCTTGAACTTCCACGTCGACGATGATGGGTCGCCGGCTTTGCGGTGACAGCATCTTGACGTTGAATGTGTCGTCGCTTTGAAGAGTCCGGACCCACTTCTTTCCGCCAACAGTCTTCTTCTTGGCACTCCGACATGCACGCTGAACGTGACCCTTCTTGCCGCAATTCATGCACTTATCTGCAATGTGCGGACACGCCCGGGCGAAATGCTTATCAGAGCCACAGCGATAACACTCGAACGACTGTTTCCTTTTCGCGGAATCTTCGGTACTCATCTTGTGCAAGTCATCGCTCCTTTCTTTTGCGTGCGCCTCCTAAACATTTTTTTTTAGCTTCTTCTAACGCGAGTGCGCGTTCAACGGCTTTTTGAAATGTCAACGTTTTATCCTCTGCAAACAAATACCGCTGTATGTCCGCACGGAACAAACCGCACACGAACCGATCTCTCAGCGACTCATCTAGGAAACCGCCAAATTCACAGGTTTGAGGGAGCTTCCTGAGCTCCGCTACATATTGTGCGATACTCTCGTGTTCCAACTGACTACGGCGATGGAATTTCGCTCGTTTTCCAATCACTGATACTCTCGGTGACAGCTGGTTTCGCAGCAATTGGGTTAGTTGCTCTAGCGTGTTTTCTGACGGTTTGGCAGGTGCCGTCAAAGACTTCAAGAGACTGTACGTTTTAGGCCCAATAACGCTTAAAAAAGCATGCACCTTGAGGTCGTCAGGTATTTTGTTGATCAGAAAAAAGGACGTCAACCTTTCTTCATAAGACTGCCAGTCACTCACAGTTTCATCGAAGGCTTCTACTTGGCCGATATGACTGGAGGATGCCATCTTGAGAAACTTGCTGTCGCCGAGTACCCAGCGGCGTGCGGTGATGTTTCGCTGTCTGTTTGGACGCAGCTTCAAGGCTTCTCACCTTCGCCTTGGCTTTGTTGCCCCCATCCTCGTCGCCAGTTGTTATGTCTGCGGTGCAAGGAGTGGCCAGACGAAGGAAGGACTGCGAAACAGCTTTATTTCCGCAGAGGCCGGCAGCGATCTGGCTGCGCGTATGACGGTGCTCTTCTTATAGAGCGCCCGGTGACGTCAGTACTACGCGTACTGCTGATAGCAACGGCAGCGGCCTCTAGCACTGGCGCATACTTGAAAAAAATAAACAATACCCTGTTGCATGAAAGACGAGTCCAAAGAATCATTTCTACCTTCCTCTGTCTTATGTTAATTTTATTGAGGTTCCTGATTGGGGCGGAGAAGGCTGAGAGAGGGTATGAACAATAGCCCAATAGCGCGCATCGCCGTAGATGCGCGCTATGGGGTTTATTCACAAGGTTCGATCTTGCTTGCGAATTCGCTGCTGCGACTTCGGGCACCGGAGCTTCTTCCAGACATTTCGTGCTGCACGGTGTCTGTCTGCGAGGGCAAAGCCGTCCTTCTGGAAATATTTTAAAGGCCAACGAACGAACGAGGGCAACGCAAAGGGCGACGGCGATGAAAAGAGTACAGCCTGACTCACGTGGTCCGATTTTACTTGCAATTTCCCAGCTGCGACGTCGCTCGTGCAGCACAAAATACCTCGAAGAAGCTCCGATGCCCAGTCGCAGCTGCGAATTCGCAAGCAAAATCGCACCAAATAAATAAGCCTTTAAAGCCAGTCGTTCCTAGCACTCTCTCCTCAGGATGGCGTAGTTTTAATGCTTTAGCATTAGTACCCACATGACAGGGAAAAGCTGACGGCGCCCGTCTGTGGACAGAACAGTGGAAAGGGAAGCGAACCGCGCAGAGAGGAGGAGAGGAGTGAAGGCAAAGGCGAGGGGGACGCGACGTCACGGGGCTGAAGCCAATGGGCGCGCGGGCGCTGGGGTGAGTTTGAGCTTGCATGTGTGCGGACCGCATATGCTTTGGTTTGTGCTACAAAATGGAGTGTGAACCAAGTACTTGCGCTGGTCCAAGTGAGCGGCAAAAATGAAAGGAAGGCCCATTGGTAGATCCTTAGGAAATGCGTTAGCATGACCCTTGGGAAACGCCACGCACGACCCTCATTGGTAAACACTAACACTTACCTTGAAACAAAGGCAAACAGAGGCAGAAAAAAATAGAGGGAGCAAAGGAGAAACCCAAAACAGAAAAAGTGAAGGTGTCAGCGTCAGCATTTCCTAAAAGTGCGGTGTTTCCCAGGGGTCATACTAACGGATTCCTTAAAGACCGACGACCTGTTGGCCCTTTCCACTTTTCCCCGCTTCCTCCTCTCCCACTTCTACCCTGTCCACCGTTGACTCTTTCGCCCTCTCCAAGGGTGAGGAGGATCTTCTGCCTTGCGGGATCTTGTGTCTGGTCGTCGGCCTTTAAGGATCCACCAGTAGATCTTCCTTTATTTGCGCATGGATAAGGATACCACCGGATTTCACCCGAAAGTGGCACCAACCGCTGTAAAACTGTAAAACACCTAAGACTTCTCAGCATGCCCGTTGTTTAATTTCGTTCTTATACGGGGTATTCAACGAAGAACCAAAAAAAGCATGGCGGAACATTCGTGCGGAGTATGTTTCTCCCAGTAAAGCTTTGTTGTAGTTCTTTTTTTTAGGACCTGCATTGAACAGCGCGTAATTTAAAAGTATTATTGCCGAGGACCAGCTGCACTATCTCAAGAAATTACCTTTTACTGGTATCAAATGCCTTCCTGATTCCTTGATAGAAAGGAATGACAATTGGAATGAGAATGAGAAAAATGAGGTAAACGTTGACTCATAAAAAATTTTCGTTTTTCTCAGTTATCTTTTGAAACATATGACATCATGTTCGTAAGCGTTCGTGTTCTACCCCAACCGCTAGCACCACAATCTCACGAAGTGTGAACTTTCTGCGATGCATACTTTATTTACCCAGGCCGAAAAACACGGTTCTCTTTTCTCAGAAACTCCTTGCATTTCTCTCCCCATGTCATGAGGGCCAGAAGTTGTTCGAATACCCTTTATATTGCAAATAAGTCGACCAGAACGCGTTCCATCGAGTAGGAGACCGAAGGAACAAAACAGTGAGTTCTCTGGGCGAATGAGAGCAAGAACGAAAAGTAAGAGGTAATGACCACATCTGCGACGAAGCTTCAGCTCAGTTAACACCGGCTTTGTCCCAAATCTTACTCGGATGGACTCAAGCTACTCCGGTAGGTCAGGTCACTTGACAACACGGGTGGAATATTTTATTTAAAATTTAACACGATTATCAGGGTGTATATTTTGATTTGCCTCTAAAATTATGTATTATAGCCCGATCTCCTCAATCAAAAGATTAATTTTTAATTTATTCTAATTATTATTTTCTACAAACATTATGAAGTGGAGCAAGGTGAAATGCTTCATTTAGACTGCTTGATTTTTGCACCCAGTTCTGTCGGTTATTTTTAATACCTAAAAACGAAAACACTCACACTATTTTTTTTCTTTTAAATGTAAGACGCATGGCATATTTTGTTTTCTAAATTAAACTGATTTGGCAAATTTTATGCCAGGAAAAGAAAATTGCCAATCGGAGCATCCGTGTTAGAGACTTTTTAGTGTTGTGTCGTTTACCCGCAGTCTCGGGATATATATTTTTTTTTTCAACCAAGAGCATCTGTGACGTTTTGGTTACATATTTCTGGCA